GTCTCTATATGTAAGATGATCCCCAATTTTTTAGCTCAGAATTAAGAAATAAACTATTTTTATAACATTCCATGTAAAAGACGACCCTCAATTTTAAACTGAATATAAATTAAAGCAATGCTATAATGGCATGCAATAAGTCTTTGAGATTCTGTATGAAACATGTATCAGTGTGGGTAATATTACATATTTAACAATGCTTGTAAATGCAGGCATAAAAAAGACCTACATATAGTTACTAATGAAAATGTACATATTATCAGAGTTTTTGCTCTCTGGCAACAAGGTGCTGGTACTCACCACAAAGTACTTTTTAAAAACAGGTGCCGGTACACACCACAAAGTGTCCACAAAAGTAATTTAGACAATACCGGTATGCACCATAAGGTGTCTATTGAAAGAATAAAAGTATCAGTTCTGCTCACAGTTGCATACCACCAGAAAACACCCTGCATATAGTTTTGCCTACTATCAGTATATGAAAATTATTGAAAAAAATTATACACAGAATCAGTTAAAAGACAGGGCATGAAGTATTATCTATTCAGCAGATTTGTGTGTCATCGAATAGGATGAAAACACTCAGCAGGAAGTCTCACTGTCATCAACAAGTAATATCTAAGTATATGTTTGCAGCAATGCATTAACAAGAGAGGAGAAGAAACACCAGATCATGATGGGACAGTATGCATTGGAGCAGGTTAACCAGTTCAAATACCTTGGAGTTGTACTAGACCAAAATGGAGGCATTAAGACTGAGCTGGCTACACGAAAAGCAGCTGCTGGGAGACTCTTCCAGGCCATAAACCGAGGGTTTCTTAGCAAAAGAGAAATTGGCAAGAGGACGAAAATGGCTGTCTACTGCTCTACCTATGAACCAGTCCTGACCTATGGGTGTGAGTCATGGGCAATGACAACAGCTCACAGAAGCCAGCTGCAGGCCTCGGAAATGAGATACCTGAGAAAGGTGGTCCAAGTGACAAGAAGGGACAAAGTCCGCAATCAGACAATACGTCAAGATCTTGATACCCAGCCCTTACTAACCCGAGTAGATCAGTCACAGTTACGGTGGTTTGGACATGTATGCAGAATGGGAGAAAATCGGCCACCATGGCAAGCATGGGAGGCTAAGAACCAGGGAACCAGACCTCCGGGACTACCCAGGGTGCGCTGGGAAGACAACATCCGACAGTCCCTAACTGACAGAGGACTGGAATGGAACAAAGCCAGAAAGAAAACTGCTGATAGAGACGTCTGGCGATTTCTCTGGCAAACCTCTACACCCCAAGGTAGAAGAGGAGTGACTAAGTAAGTAAGTAAGTAAGCAATGCATTAAGTGTCATACAAAACAAAGTTTGGTGCCGTCTTCACAATGGAGGTCGGCTACAGTGTATCACTGTTCTCTCTGGAAATATTATGTGGTGAGGCCCCAATCTTTTCCACAGTACGATTCTCGTACCATTGTCTGAAAACCCTGAGAACAGAATTTTGCCATCCACCATTTGGAACAAAGCACAGTAATCGAGGGTCATGAAACTGTTAACCGCATTCGCTAGCTTCTAAGCAACGGAGCTGCACAAATAACTACACAAAATAGGCACACAAAATAAGACACACCTAATGCTTTTTCTTCCAGCTGTTATTTCAAATTAATAAATATCCAGCCGAAACGCTGACATGAAAACCTACTTCAAATATTTAATATACATCCAGCAGAATAGATAAGAGGAAAACTTGCTTATTTCTTTTATAATCCCTGCACAAGGCAGTTATGACTAAGCGTCCCAGCACGAAAGGCTGATATACTTCAGTGGCCTCCAGGACAATCTCCCTCCTGAGGTCCAAGCAGCATGGACAAAAACGCCCTCTTCCTTTCACTACTTCGTTGTGAATCCTTGGTACTAATATAATAACAACATTTATGTTTTACGTTTTTTATGAACATGCAACAACATATTATGTAGGTACTTGAGCCATTTAGTATCAGTTTAATTCTATTGCGTGAATGCATATGACAGATACGTTGTGTTTTTGTTCACTTCTAGGCTGCGGTAACTGCACATTTAGACCCAACACATTCAATTTCAACAAAGCCTTATTTGATTGCCTTTATGACGTTTGTTAAGGGGCAGACAGTCTATTACCCACCCCCCCCCCACCCCCAACCCCTAGAATGGGGAACCAAAGCCCACAAGGAAAAGCTGACAGTCCTCTACTGTAAATATAATTGGGGAATCAAGGCTAAGAAGCTGTTGTGCTTATTTCAGGCTTAGAAGTACCAAGTTCTAATCTTAGGATATAGTTCCAAATTTTCACAAGAAGCATTCATGTCTAATGATATAAACTGATCCTCTTTGATATCTTGCATATTGAAATTGGATGCCAAGTGTGCAAGCTTACAGTGTTAAAAATCCCACACCATCTGGAACCCACAAAGAGTAGGCTGAATAAGCGAATCTTGGTAAATAGCTTTTACATGCTATGCCTAGGAAGAATGATTGGTATTTAGTGGCAAGACCAGACCACAAACACTGAAGTATTGGAAACAGCAGTTATTACAACAGTTTTCTCAACAATCAGTCTAGGAAGGCTCAGGTGGCTGGGTCAATCTGGAGAATGGAGGATGGAAGAGTCAATGAGGACGTCCTCTATGGTGAATTACATATGGGTAGAAGATGATGAGGCTCACGTCTACTATGATAGAAAGATGTGTGCAAACAGGATACGAATGATACAAGTACTCAGATGAATTTGTGGGAACAAAATACCATAAACTGTGTTGTGTCGAGGTGGCAAATTAGGATTGGAATGAGAATGAAAGAAGAAATTATTACAGAAAGGCAAAAGCTGAGCGTTTAAGAAGAAACACACCAAATACAAATGACTGCAAAACGGCCTTGAAATCCCATTCTATAATTGTGGAAGACTTTTCTTAATGCGGGCAGATCTTGCTAGTCACACTCGCCATCACCATGGGCTGTGACTAGTCAGGAATTCCCCCCCCCCCCCCACCCCCCAAATAACCACCTTAATCACAAGAGTTAATTTGTAAAGGTAAATATCAGGTATGCAATCACAAGAAAAAGAAGGCAAACTGTATTAAGAGAAGCAATTTAAAGTGGAACAGATAAAATAAATAAAAATTATTAAATGTAAATGTGTATCAAACATGCTTGTTGTACATGTATTCAAAAAATTTGTATAAATTCTCTCATTATAATGACTCCAAAAAATTCAAGTCTAATAAACACATCAGGGACCAGCAGTTTTGTTCTGGAAACATGAATGGGTGAAGCAATAGCCACAGCAGCATTTTGTGTCAATTATACTTTAATGTCATTAGTTATCCCTTCTATAGTTGCCTAACTCTTTTAGTTTAAAAAGTTAGTTGCGTATCCTTTACATAACATACATAACATAACCCTTGACCCATGAGGGTCCTGGAGGTGTATTAATGGAAGCACTAGCACATAAAACCTGCCATCTTTCTCTGTCTTTTACTTGATGAAAAAGTGTATGACAACTTAGTCCTGTCCATTTATTGATGTTGTTATTCCAGGTTCTTCTTTGCCCTCCTCTTCTCAACTATCCCCCAATGTTCCTTGAAGTACAGTCTTTGAAATCGAATCATGTCTTGCCACGTGCCCAAACCTCCTTTACCGGACGTTGCAGAACCAACCCTAACATTTTTTTAGCTGTTGAGGTTTTTCTAGACAAATTGTACGCTAAGTAGTTTGCCACTGTTTTCTCAATGGTCAGCTCTTGGCACTACTGTTGAAACCAACACTAGACAAACCCTCTGCAGCTGGGATTGAACCTGGCACCCTGGCATTACTAAGGTGTTCACAAGACCTAAGCCACAGATGCCGACAACTCTTTCAGTACCAGCATATAAATACTTCAGCATCTTGTATCCTACAAATTTCTTGTTTAACCCTGTCAGCCAGAACAAAGCTGATTTTCTGGCATTTATGGGTTGTTGATGACATGAAGTCTGTGGGCAGTAGCTACTACGCTCCAAGAAACAGCTCTGGTGCTGGTTGCAACCGCACATTGTGTTGACATGTTGTGTGTGATTATAGAGACACAAATTAATAAATAATATTTAGGGTGAAAATTTTTTTTCCCTTTAAAACAATGAGGTAATCTTTACATCACAATAATCACACAGTGACATCATTTTGCTTCCCATGGTCAAGTCAATAAAACCATGTTTATCATGGTCAAAGGGCAAGAAAGCAGTTAATTCCTTGCTCTTTTTGTTTTTAGTTAGTTATTAATACTTCCTTTGAAGTTGGAGTGCATTTGCCTAAGAGGCGAGGAACCGACAATCTGCATACAAATAAACTAGATCTGTAAAACGGATGTGAAAGCAAAACTTGAGTTCTAGAATAGGACGAAAGTCCAGAAATGGATGGAAAGCCGTAACTTTCTGCTGGAATTTACAATCAGTGAACACTAAGAAGAAGAAGAAGAGTGATTCCTTTATGAAAAATTAGTTTCTGCATGGAAAAAATAAAAATAATAATTTATATGGATAGTTTTAGTTTTCTGACAGCTGCAACGTAGCTGCAGACTTTACACTTGCCCGTCGGCTCGGTTATCTGAGGGTCAACCCTTGCCTGTCTTTAAAAACTGCTCAAAGCTTTCTCCTTCTTCTCTTTCTCTAGCAGAGCTTAACGGAATTATAGCAATACATTTTTTAAACAAAATTTGGAAAAAGTCATTGTTTTTAAAGTTCCTTAAGAGGCAAAAGGTTAAAGAAGTCAAAAATAAATTTCATAATAAAAGATTGGTCAAAGGAGTAAGGCTAATTTTTCAGATAAGGAAGTTAACATAACATGTATGCAACACAAGAGAATCAGAAATATGTACTATCTTTGGATTAACTAATGAATGTGCGATGAGTGTCATAGTACCGAAAAAGATAAGTGAACAAATTCAATAATTCACAATATTTTTTTCATCTTAAAACTAAATGTCTACTTGATTGATTTATTTTAGACTAACACTATCATTTTACGCAACTGTCCAATCTCTTTCCTGAGCTGATCTTCTAGCAGTTTTCTCTTTCCTTCCATAACAGTCTTCATATTACTAATACTTTCATGTACAGTAGAAAAACCTTCTCTGCATTCTCGTTTCAGTTTAGCTATCTCTTCTGTATGCCTGTTGATGGTCTTGTCCATTTTTGCCAGCAGCTTTGCTTCTAAAGACTGAAAATAACAAAATAATGAATGAAGGTATACCGTTATTGCAGGTGATCTGCGTCAGTGATGGTAACTAACTATTTATATCGATCTTTATTTGCCCTAAGAAAGATGCATCAACAGATTAAATGTAAAGCAGCTGAAGACAGAACAGAATTCTTCAAGCTAGAGAATATTTTATTAACACTTAGGTGTCACTGCAGTGGAAAAAAACTGATAGCTCTTATGTGTAAAAAAGAACAAATAATGATATCATGAAATGGATCACGGAAAACTGCCTGTGTGGGTTCCGGGACACGATTTTGGAAGAAGAAAGAATAGAATCAATAACAAGCACATCGTAAAAGTTTACTAATTAGGGGTGTTTCCTTTGAGGTCAGGCTGCATCTACCTGAGAGGCAAGGAACCAAAGTCTGCTTAAATAAGAAAGATTTTTGGAGAGGAAGAAAAACAGACTTAAAAATAAGGTGCTACTATCTGACACAGAAAAACACTTGCATTGATTTTGCATGGAAAAATAATAGTAATAATAATATTCTTCTTCTTCTTCAGTGCTCCGAGCCCTTGAGGTCCATTGCTGCAGATATTACCTGCATCCACTCATCTCTCTGGTTGGCCTTCTCTTTTCAGTTGGTGACACCAAGTGTTTGCATGTCTGTTTGGACATTATCTCTCCACTGTCTTCTTGGACCGCCTCTACGACCATTCAGCTTCCTTGTGTATACAGTTTTTACCTCTCTGTCATTTGACATTTTCAATAATAATAATAATTTAAATAATTGATTGTAGTGATCTGACATTTGTGATGTAGTTGCAGACATCACACTTGACTGTCTGCTTGGTAGTCTAAGTGTTGGACCCCCTGAATGTCAACAAAAACTGCCCAAGTCCAAAAATATCTTCTGCTTTTTCGTCTCTTCCTTCAAATAATGGTTGGTTTGGTCTGTAGTTAAAATTCTATTAATTGTTCCTTTACTCACCCTTTTGCCAATTAACTAGTTCTACTAATTGTTTGGTTTGATATCTCTTCTTGAAATAACTAGAAATATGAGAAACAGTACAATGGAAAAATTCATTGCAACCAATGTCATACAGTATGTATTACAAGAAGATAAAGTAAAGAGATCAAGAGAAACAAATGTAAACCAAGTGAAGAAGTGATCATAAATGAGAATGATTCTCAACAGACTAATGGGTGATAATACCAAAATAATCAGAACAGAGTAACATGTCCTAAGGTGTATTGTATTTTAGATTCTAGAAATATCTGGGCACAATTATAACATCAGACGGAAGATGTGTGTCAGAAATTAAGAGCAGAATAGGTCAAGCTAAGCTAAGCTTGACAGAATGAAGAACATCTGTGCAACAGGTACCTCACTTTGGATGTCAAAAAGAGGGTACTAAAATTTTATGTAGAGCTTATACTTATGGTAGTGAATCATGGAATGTGAATGCACAAATTATAAAGAACTTAGAGTTGATGGAGATGTGGCTCCTTAGATGAATATTAAGACTCCCTTGGACTGCCAGAGTAACTAACGAGGATTGCTTGAAAGAAGCTAGTGAAAGCAGACCAATATATACAGCTGTAAGGAAAAGACAAGAACTGTTGTTTAGTCATGTGATGGGGGAAGGGGGGGGAGAGGCTTTGGAGAATATTGATAAGTGGGAAGTAGGAGGGACAGACAGACAAAGAGAGATAATGACAAATGGACTGCAATGGTGGCATGGACGGATATCATCGATGGAATTGATCCAGTGTACCAGGGACCAAGATCTGTGGAGATGGATGAACACCAGTGCCAGAGGGCAGGGCATATGATGATGATGAGATTCTATTATTTTAAATGATTAATACAAGAACATATATTTACTCACAGACTGTGCATCATTCACATACATCCTGGACTCATTCAGAGACTCCTCCAACTTAGTAATACGAGCATCTGTTAAGTACCTGCCTTCGTCTATTTTCTTCATCAATTTTTCCTAAGATGTCATAATATAGATACATTTAAAGAACACTGTAAATATTTTATACAAACTTATTTTGTCTGAAAGGGAAAACACTGGAAGAACAGCCAGTATTTTTTGCAGTTATGCAGCAGTATATTTGTGACCAGCCATGGAAGCAGACATGGCTTTGTAGTCAAACTGGGATCATAAAATGGGTACCAGAAAAAGTTCCACAAAGTGACTGGCTCAGTTTGTTGTGTAAATTATATTAACAGTTTGTCTACTCAGCTTCTAGTCCAGTAGCTAGGTCTGCAAATGCCATTTTTAACTCCTGGTATTGATATTCTTCAGTTCCGCTGCATTATCAATGATGCAGTCCAAGGATGAGCTGGTAAATGCGAAGGAGAAGAAGAATTAATGAAGCAAAAGATAAACAGGGTAGGCTGCACTATGCACTATAGTGAAAGAACCCAGTAAAGAAACAAAATAATACTTAACATGTTCAGTACAAATATGAGGAGCTTTGAGTATCCTGTTTCCCCTTTCTCCTGGTCAGGAGTAAGGCTTATGGCTAGCCTTTTAAATATTATGTTCTTATTCTAAATTCCATAGTTTTACTGTGTGTTTTTTATCTATTATTTCAAAGATCCAGCTGGTTATCTGTCATGCTCCAATGTTTTTAATCTTGAAATATTACAAGAATTCTTGAATTCATTACAAATAGTTAAAGCTCTAATAAATTCTTTTTTTTTTTCAGTCCAACAGATCAAAGACAATCACAGCTGGGTAACACTTCTTTTTTCGCATTCACCCTTTAAACGTCACAGGGGCATGCTGTGTTGTGGTTTACAGTTAGCCTGTGATATCTCTACTTTTTGTCCCAACACATTAGATTTCAGCAAAGCCATATTTAGCTGCCTTTTATCAGAGCCTTGTTAGACAAAAGTGGGTCTATTCTTTTCCTTCGAAAATGGGGCCTCAAAACCCATGTGGGGAAGGACACATGTCAACACGACCTTCCTTAGGTATAAATGTAAGTGTCTTTATCTTCGTCTGTCTTTTATCTCTGAGTAGAGCTCAGACCCTCCAGCAACTCATGCCAATACATGTGTTTCAAAATTTCTTGAAGATTGTTTGGACGTTGCAGAAAAAGCTTTCAGTGTGAGGAAAGTAAATTCAAACATCTTTAGTAACTTCTTACAACATACATGGTAGGCTGGAGTATTCTTTGCTTCCCTTAACTCTTTTACCTCAGGAACACTACAGAAATGGTCATGCCTTCTCGGAAATTCCTGTGAAAATTGTATCTGCATGTATAAAGATACATGAAGGGAGTAATCAATAAACAGTAATAGGGTAGTATTTCATCTCATGGAATACATACCCTGGGACTTACAAAACATATGTATTGGGTAACTCATGCTGTGACCCTGTGAACTCTATCACTGAGGCTTATGGGAAATTTTGACATCCATTTGACTTACAGAAAAGCAATTTGGCTCAAAATAAGCCATAATCTAATGCTTATATGAGTGAATGTATTCATATTCCGACCTCCTAAATGTTTGCACAGACACAATAACAACCAGCAGCAAAAACTAAGTATCTCGTAAATAGATCACTATAGACAAGTCGGAAAAGTGAAATAACAGGAAATTGGACCAACTGGAAGTGTCGGTAAGCAGATTTTTAGTGTGAATGGGTTAAGGACCCAGGTACCACTCAGATGAAACATAAACTTACCAAGGACAAATCGTTGTTCCCTTCAATTTTCTCAATTGCCACCAGCAATCTCTGTTCGATTCGTTCTCTCTCAGTTTCAAAAGCAGTCTGCATGGTGGTCAGATTAGTTTTAAGGTCCTCAATCAACTGCCTTGTCTTGGCATCAATCATCGACATCTGAGTGTTTGTATCACCCTCTAAATGCTGCAGTTTCATTCGAGACTCTCCATTAATTCGTTCTATGTTGCTGTTTAGGGTGACAAGCTGAAGTAAAAATGTAAATTGTCATGTTAAAAAAAAAGGTTCTTAAAATCTTTTGAGATAATTGATTAATTATGTAAGTAAAAGAGGAGCAGCTGGTTGAGTGGTTAGAATGCTAGGCTTATGCGGGAGACCCAGGTCTGAAGCCTCAGTAAGGTGACGAATGCTTTTTTCTGTCGGAAGGAAAAATAAACATCCTTATCTGACCAGTTCCTGGTGACTGCACTAGTCATCCAGCCCTTAATCCTCAAGCCCAAGACCCTTTCTACTCTACACAGCCCTAAAAAGTAATTTCATAGGCAGCAAAGAGTTGGAGAGTGTTTTTTTTAAAATACAGTTGAAATAAAAACATTTTCTCAAGTGAAGCATTTTGGTATTACAGTGTTTCTTACACATACACACACACAAAAGAACTCTGCTAAGGCTGGTGGTCCTAAGCCTGGATGCAAAAGGAGAAGTATTTATTTGAAGGGCAGGTTTTCAAGAGTGATGCACTGGGTTTATGGTACTAACTCAGTATTTGTAGAGACCAATAGACACTCAATGTATGGTGTGTGTATTACATATAAAAGTTAGCTGCGTAGCCTTTACAGGACATTGCAGAACCAACCCGGCATATTTTAGCTGTTGTGGTTTTTTTAGGCAAATTTAGACCTAGTAGTTTGCCATTGCTTTCTGGACGGTTGACTTCTCTATAACACTGTCAAAACAACTTCCAAAAAGAGCTTGAAAGCACTTAAAGCACTATATATATTATAATGAAATTTATGTTCAGATATCAAATTAAAAATATCTCCATGTGTGTTGTTTGTCTATCACTAGTGTAGAAGACCACTTTCATCCAAAGTAGCTGGATGAAAGTGACTTGCGCAAGGATTTGGATTTAAGTGAGGAAGAGTTGCGCAATTCCAATGGCAGGACAATGTTGAGACCATTCAAAATGAACCTAGGTGCAGTGGATGACCATGGCGTCTTAAGTGCCCTGCCTTGCTCGAAAATCTCAACAGAGCCTGCTGGTAATCGCCTTCTTGTCCATTTAACCAATAAGAGGTTTCATCCGCACAATCCGCCGAGTCCAGTCTTTACATGCAGGGTAGGCATATCCCAATCACCGAGTGGTTTACAACCAGGTCGGCTACCCGCTCCTGGTTTAGCCAGCCCATCAAAGCTGTTGCTCCCAGGGTGGCCGCTGTCACATGCTGACAGCTGCTGGGAGCCACAGGAGAGAGCTGAGTGCCGGGACCTAGCATAATTGTGGTGAACTGCCCTAAGAAGGACATGGCGGTCAACTTAGCCAGAGTACTACAAATATCTGACACCCCAGACCCCTCCATGTGTAAGGTTAGTTGATTGTGTCAGATATATAATGTGTTTAAATGACACAAATTTATAAAAATCAAGCATCACTGCAAGTTATTTAGGAGTCAGAAACAGGTACAGTGATTAAACTTTGGAAATTTACTCTTGCTAACTGTATAATATAAACTTCTCCTCACAGTCCATGTTGTGTGGCCTTGGCAGACATGTCTATCCACAATCTTCTGTCTCATGTACTTTCAATCAAGTCCGATACACACAATCTTTCATGCCATGATGTCAGACTGTCCAGCATCCTCTCTCTCTGTAACCCTCTGCCTCTTTTCCTCTCCATCCTTCCCCCATCATGATGTACTCCAGTTTTCTCCTTCTCATAACATGCCTAAAGAATGTAGGTTATCTCCTTCTGATGTGGGCAATCAGTTCTCTTTGGGAGTCAGCTTCTTTTGAGAAATCTTCATTACTCTTTTTTATATGTCCAGGGTATTCTTATCATTCCTCTATAAAACATACATTTTGACTTTAACATATCTCTGCCGCTTCCAAAAAAGTTTTCACTAATCGTCCAACTGTCCATGATTCACTTCCCTATATAAGGATTAGACGTACATAGCTCTTGAGAATTCTCTTTCCTGTATCCATTGACAAAAAAAAAAATAGCATCGAATATTCTTCATTTTGTAAAATGCTGCCTTTGCTTCAGCTGTTCTACATTTAACTTCTTTAATAAATCTTCCATCTGCTGTTATCAGGGGGCTTAAGTATTTAAACTGTCAACTTGCTTGAGGATTGTCCCATTAGTTTTTTTAACAAACATTTTTTTGACAATTCACCTGTGCTTCAAGGCCATGTACTCTGTCCATCATCCTATTTTGCATTTCTTGCTGTTGATGTGACAGCTGCTTGATTGATTCAAAACACACTCGAATATCTGCACTCAGTTTAGAAATGGAACTGTCACACCTGACAATTCGCCCTCGAAGATCTGTCAGTGTTTGGACATGGTGCACCTCCAGGTGTTTCACTGCATTGTTTGTTCCTACATGTGCTGTGTCTCGTGATTTGATAGAACTTTCCAAAGCCTGTAAACATAAATATCATGGTCAGTAAACAAAGTTCAGGAATGAGATATGCTATTCAAAAATCAGTTTATATGGTATTACCTACAGAAGTAACAGGTTAAATGTTTATGATACTGGCCATGTGTATTACTTCTTTAAGCCCCACAAGGTCCTCGCTTCATGCCGAGGGAGTTACGAATGGCAATACTGTACTCATGGGTATACTACTTCCAGAGTGGCTGAATATACCCCCTTGAATGAAACAAATATGTTGTCAGTTGTCCCCGACTAAACACAGGATGTAAAAATATAGATAACATGTTGACTGGTTACACGTGAACAAAACCCAATCAAACATAGTGCATTGTTTGGGACAAAGATTTGGGGATAACTTTTTCCTAATTATAATTCCTAATAAAGCAAAAAAGTTTTTATCTATCACAGGTGAGTAAAGTTCAACCCCACCTAGACTGCACAACTATTAATAAAGAGCCAGTTACACAAAGTGCCACCATTCGGATGAGAATCATCCAAGCGCAAGTCAGAAAAACCCCCGTTCAACCATTACATTTTATTAGGGCCCATGACAAAAGCCAAAGTGCTGCGTTAAAATAATGAACAATTTTGTCTCATAGTGGCATGGATCTGGTCATAACTCTATCATAGGACAAAATATTACAGGTAACAATCTATCCCCGACTTGAGCAAATACTGTACTAATAAACTAAAAATTTTCATTTAAGTGACGCCTGTGTAACAATAAAATAAAGGGTAAATGCCAGAAAGAAGCCTATGAGTTAGCAATCAACAGGTGATGTTACAGCAGTCGGGGCATTCCCATAAATGGCAGCAAGCACAAAGTTTTAATACTGATAATGTCATTTATTGTCTGTATATTCATCTTTCGTTTGCTTTAAGTATTTGTGGACAGGGAAAGAACCAGGGCTTTTTCTCAACAAAAAGGTGCCAGTAGTATCTCTCAGTGTCTATTAGTAGTGTTGAAAACAATAATGCCTCAAAAAAAAAGGTGCTTGTTCTGTGTACCATTACGCACGCAAATAAGCCCTGAAAAGAACTAAATAAACATCTAACAATCAATAGGTGGGGAAAAGACGCTGGTGCTGAATATGAAACACATTGAGAAAAACTGATAATAACATAATTAGATTGTCTTTGCACTGGAACCCACAGAGTGGATGAGATCAAGGGAGATCTAACAAAACATGAGAAAAAAGAAAGAATTAGAAGCTTCTTTTTCTTCATGTTTATCGACTGTAAACTCTGGCAGAAAGTTCTGGCTGGTCATCCATTTCTAGATTTTAGTTTTGTACCAGAACTTGAGTTTTGTTGCACATCCATTTTACAGATCTAGCTTATTTGTGTCCAGACTGTTGGTTCCTGGTCTTTCAGGCAGATGCACTCTGATTTTGAACAAATTAAACCTCCCTAATTAGTAAACTTTTATGACATATTTGTTGAAGGAAATGGGGCACTGGATCTCCTTTTTTCCCCCAGTACCAACACAAGGAATACACCCTCTTCAAAGATGCCTAGAAAATTATGATTCATCAGAACAGTGTCATATCTGAATGTTAAAAGTATAAACTTGGACATCAGTAAAAATAAAAGTATATATTCTTGTCAAGGACCTGATATCTATATTACTTAACTAGGGCTCCCTGTACGGCCCTGTGACAGACACACTATACCAAAACACACTCAACACATACACAAATGAAGCACACACATCATCTTTAATGACCAAAGAACAATATAGCCTAAAACAACCTCTACAGTTATGGACAGTCCCCTAATCCGAAACTCTCGGGCAGTGGCGACAGTTATATTTACCTCTCCACCCCGGGCCATTCCTATGGATGAACTAAAGGACACGATTCCACCTCCTGTAGTGCAGCGCCAACTAAGCTACGATCTTCGCCATGCGAGACTCAGTGGCACACGCAGGGTGAGTGGTTCAAGTATTAGCGGACAATGTCAATGACAGCACAAGACGCAGATAATTTCCAAAAATCCAGGGACAAGAACACCTACCTAAACATGGTACAACCCCAACACAACTGTCTTAGCATACTATCAGCACACGAAGAATAACAACAGCTAACCAACACATACGACGACAGCGTTAACACTACACAACCTATCTGTCAATTCCTAACAAAAAAAAATACAATCAGTCTCTGAAAATGTCCTCATCCTTGCACGTCCCTTTTCTCTCCCTCTCCGTTCAGCTCCGGTTCAAACGTGTACGTTGCACCAGTGTTCAAGCATCTCGGGTTTTCCCTGTATCATCAAATCAACTGGCTGAGCGCTGGTGCACATTTTTGGTCCGTCAAACACCAACATGTAGTTACACGACGTATTGTCTGTACTCTGTCCCACAGGGCTATGACAATTCTAACACCAGTAAATAAAAAAAGTATGTGCTGTACTCTGACATTAGTGAGAATTAAAAAGTATACACTCTGATAACAGTGAATATAAAAAGTATATACTCTGACATCAGTAAATTTTAAAAAAGTATATATTCTGACATCATAAAAGTAAACAAGTATACACTCTGACATTAGTGATATAACAATTATATATTCTATCCTTTTTAAATACTAAGTGGTGTTACCTGGGATAGCCATGAAATTTTCAGTTTGAAAGTCTATGACATGAACAACAGCTATTATTCTTTCTTCTAACACCCCTTTCCCCTTTAATCATGGGCAATAAATAATTTTCAAATCTACTTACGGCAATATCAGCATTTAGTTTGTTGACTACCGATGTGATCGTCCTGATATGTTCTTGTAGAAGTCCTCTTGCTTGCTTCTCTTCATTCCATGTTCCTTGAGTATAGTTCAAACTTTCCACCACTTCTTCTTTGATTTTGAATGCTCTGTCAATTAGTGCCTGTATACAGAACACAGTATGTTTATTATTCCTATTATATACATATTCATGGTTGCAGCCAAACAATACATCTACTGAATATACTGAATTTTCTACAAGATGTAATAAGTTTGCGAAAACCAACTGGGGACTATGTATCTGCAGCCGTGATCAGACTGTAAGAATAGCATGTTAAAAGAAGTTTGGCCATTCAAAAGCACTTATGGGCTGACTGGTCTGATGTGTAATGAGGATAATCTGTCGACTAACTAACTAATCAGCTAAACAAGCACAGAAACACATACACACACCCCACACATGATTATGTCTTGGGTAGGAACCTGTCCTACTTTTATTCTGATGTCCATCCGATGGCAGGAGAACCAAGAAGCATATAGGCTAGATACTTGCCTGGAGGTCTAGGGTTCAAATTTGCATTGAATTTTTTTTTTTTTAAACTGGCACTGATTCCCAGTCTGGCCTATCTAAAATAGGTACCTGGTGATGTCACAGGAAGTAAAAGGGTGGTCAGCATGATGCTGACATCATCCACCGAGTGCTGACTGGTCTATAAAAATTTGAGTCTAGCATGATATGCTCAATGCATCAAAGACGTAAAATGGTCCTTTTGTGTTTTTTTTTTTTCAACATAACCGGGTGGCATATGGTTGAATTACCTCTAGATACATAAAATAGCCACTAATTCAAAGAATAAGTGGCTGTGGACCAACACAGGAAGTGTGATTGAGGGAAAGTGAGTCAGTTAGTTAGGTAATTATAAAATAACCCAAAATATGAAAAGATAAGTTTGTGCTGGATCTGTCTCCTTCTGGACAAAGGATATTGAAATTTGAAAACAAAAAATGACTACTGCCTGTATGTACCACTTTTTAAGGCAATGTAGGACAATAAAGTATTGAGTGAGGATTGAAGCTAATGGCTAGGAACTGTGCAGGTTAAGATGTTCACTTCTGCCCTCAACAGAAAAACCTCTGTCACCCTACTGAAGCTTTAAACTCAGACCTCTCACATGAGAGCCCATCATTATACCATTCAGCCAGGCAGTTCTCATTGAAATTGAACCATACAGAAAATTATGGAATCCTCTGGAAAACGACCATTATATTCATGCCTTGTAAAACATGCATATTAACAAGCTGGATGTAGTTAATAAGGTGAACAGAGGTTCTAGTGAGATCAACTCATCCAGTTGAGAGCATCTTGTGCCTTATGTGCTACCCAATACTTATCATGTTACCTTATGCTGGCAAGATTTATGGAAAGAAAGAATCAGGAAGGCTCACTGTTCACCGTTCATTTTAGAGATCATCTTCATCGCACATTGGACGTAATCATAAGTGCTCCAATCTCTTCTTTAGTATATCTCCAAGTGTTTTAGGCTAACAACTCCCATTCTGTTCTTGTTGACGTAATGACTGGTGGCTTCCGCATGGCTTTCCTCTCTCGTGGCTCCAGTAGGTACACCCAGGGTATGCAGTCTAAGAAAGAAGATTCTTGACAGCCTTTGCTTTTTTTACAGTATGAAAGGATGATGCTTGTGGAGTTTGAAAGATGTGAGAAGCATGGTTATCTATGCCAGATGGCAAGGCAGTTGATAATGGTGGTGTTTATGTGTAAATAAGTCTAAAAAATGTAATATGTACATTATCTCAGCATTCTTACTTGTGTATTCCGCTCCTGCATGGCCAGTCTGTCTTCAAGGCTTTCAATCCTGTTTGGAAGGTCAGACCGAAGTGGTACTATCTCTGCTACCTGTCTTGGTTCTTGCAACTGCCTTGGGCTTCCCACAGAGATGGCATTGTACTCATGAGTAGTGTCATATGGCGCTCTCAACAAAGGAAGATTTGTACGCCGCATTGCCATTCTTTTTGTTGTTACTACAGGAATACTGATAGCAGAGGATATATAGGTGTAAATGTCATAAGGGTTGATTCCTGTAATTCATTTCATTAATAAACTTATTCTAACAAAGCAAGACTATGTATGAAATTGAAAAGTTAAAGTAAGAACTGACAACACAGAGCTCAGGACATTCTCATGAGCCTGCATCTCCATTTTTTGCAGCCAGTGCTGAGTTCCAGTTCTGATGGCACCAGCAGAATTCTAACTGTTTATCTGCCTTTCCTTTCCTCGGAGTACTGATAGTCAGTCAGTTCCCTATAGTTATTGCCATAAAATGCAAACATTTAGTAATTTCAACACTACATTTTACTGGTACACAACTCAGAATCCAACTTTTGCAAGAATTTAGTAAAACTGTTTTATAATTGATCAGTATTGGTATCCACTAAAAAGCACAGTTAAGATCAAAATCTGTTCTTGAATTTAAAGAAAACGAAAATAATGTCCACAGATAAAACTGGCTGTCACCCAAAAATAACAATAAATGATAAAGAAATTGAAAATGTCACAAACTTTGAATATCTAGGCTCTATAATAAACAGCAATGGAGACTGTTCGACAGAAATTAAAAGGAGGATGGCCATAGCAATGCAAAGATTGAACAGCCTTAAAAGTCTATGGTTAAGCACCAGCAAGGAGACGGTCAGCCTATGGATCATGCTGATATTGTTAATGCCCTCAGAGAAATGGGAAGGATAGAGGACTTTGGTGGCAGTGAATCCACATCACTCGCCATAATAGCAGACTTGGGAATTAAGATCGGCATAGCAAAAAACGAGACGAACACCAGACAAGCCGGAAGACTTGTTAATCAACATAGAACTGGTACTATTAGCCATCGGATGTTGGGGTTCATACTGAGGGGAGGATCTGAGCACCTATGGACATGTCCAGAGTGCAATGATGATAATCCAACTAACTAACTAATTAAGGAGATAAAAATTAGAATTTTGGGAGCATGCATCTTCCCTGTGGCTACATACGGATGTGAGTCATGGACTATCTCTCAGTCCTTGAGAAAAAGAAAAGGGGCTTTTGAGCTGAAATGCAATAGAAAGATTCTCAGAATATCTTGAACAAAAAAGATGAGAAATACTGACATCTCAAAAGATCTGAACATCAAGGAAGATTGGCTAATAAACAGCATCCTTTCTCAAAAGCTGAAATATTTTGGTCATATCAAGCACCACGACGGATTAGAAAAAATTATAGCAGAAGGCATGATACCAGAAAGGAGAGGCAGGGGCCGACCGACACGAAGATGGGCACATGATATAAGTGACTCCTTGAGTGTGAAAGTACATGAGGCGGGAGAACTGGCGAGAGACAGAGTTTCTTTCAGGCAGACTGTGATAAGAGCGACGTTCTGCAAAGGACCTGCTACATGCTGATGATGTGTGGTATCCACCACTAAAATATTATTATCTCCGCCTATAATTGACTTACGGGCTTCAATAAGGTATCACTGGATTTGATATTTTAATCGCTGTTGAGCTGTGATGGTTTCATATTAAAACTAAAAACCCAATATTTAAAACTTCACCAACATCCCAAATATAATCATGTACCAATGAGCAACGTAATTAGCATTTACTACCTATTCAGATATGTCGCCTATTTCAACAGCGCAGAAATCAAAATTTTAAAGCATGTATGTGTCATATGCCTGTTTTTAGTTAACTGAACTTGGTTTAGGTTGTGTTGCTATTCACCCATCCGCCATTTATAAACAATCTTTCGTCGCTGCAGAAAATCTCGCGAGATTAGTACAATATTTACAACTAAATGTCGAAAAAAAGCATTTCTGCGAGAGAAACAATGGTAGAAGATGCGAGATTCGACTTCACCGCATCAGGTCAGCCTACATAACTAGGTATTTCTGTGCAAGACGGCTAGCCATATCCTGATTAGGGACCTGAACCCGTCAAAAAAAAGTGTGAACTGCATAGCTCTAGCAAAAGTCCTTGGTGATCTCTGTAAAAACTATCAGAGAGAGATCGGGGCTGCTATACTGGACTCTTTCCTCGATATCGAAAGAATTACATAAGATATACTGGAATATTATAGTATTTTAAAATAATAAACTTCTAGCCCGATATGACTTACAACTAAACAACAGGGTGATAATGATGCTGATGATTTGCAGCGAGAGACTAAACATTTATGGGTATACCGTGGTATGCTTTAATGCCGAATTTTAATCAGCAATCAATCATATTGTTCTCGTGTCGCTCCTTCGTCATCCTCTCTTTCATTCTTTCTTTCATCTCTTAACTGAGCATTCACCCTCAACCAACTCTTGCTAACTTCTTCGTAAACTTCTTAATCAGCTTCGCGTTCTTCTTCTTCACTTCCTCTTTTACCGCTGAAGGTGTCGATGGAGATATAGGATTCTGTCTCTAGCTCTTCTGGCCGCCTCGACCATAGGCACATCGTGCTGTTGTAGAGTTTCTCTGATGTTATCCTTCAATGTTCTTGGTCTACCTCATGCTCTACGTCCTTCTTCTCTTTCCATGTATGCTTTGTATGGCATGGTGTCACAAGGCATTCTCTCTAAGTGGGCAAACCATTTCACCTGCTGTCTTTGTATGTAATTTAGAATTGGTTCTGTGCAGACTTTTTCTCTTATGATCTCATTCCTGAAATTATCTCTTATGGTCACTCCTACAGCCCTTCTCAGACTTCTCATCTCCATGGTTACTAATTTTCTTTTATGGTTTGTTGTGAATGACCATGTCTGGCACTGGTAGCACAGAGTTGGAATAAATATGCTTTGAATAAGATGTCTCTTTATGCTGATTTGGATTGTCTTATGCTGTAAGAGGGGGGCTAGCTGTCCCAATACTTGGTTTTCATTACTTAATGTTAATTTCTTTATCCAATTTTCCTTCTTCGGTAAATGTAGTTCCCAGATATTTAAACTCAGATGCCTGTTTAATGCCTTTGCACTCTATTGCTATGTTTAGATCTGCCTTCTTTTTTCCTATTGACATTACTTCTGTCTTTTCAGTGTTGATTCTCATATTATTTGTTTTACATTCTTCATTCATGGATGTTAGATGTTGTTGCAATTTCATGGCTGTATCTGCTATCAAGGCCTGGTCATCTGCAAAGAGTAATTCGTTGATCTTACTAACATTTTCATTCATGGGCTTGGCATTCTTGCATATACTGTCGATGTAGGTGATAAACAGCAGTGGTTATAAGACACACCCCTGTATTACTCCAGATGTTACTGTGAATGGATGAGATGTTCCCTGATTTATTCTAACTACACTTCTACAATCCCTGTATAAACTTTCGCACACTTCGATGAGGTGTTCGCTTACTCCATATCTTGCCATTACTTTCCATAATAATTGTCTGTCGACTCTGTCAAATGCCTTCTCCTGGTCTACGAATGCCACAAATAAGTTCTTATTGTATTCAATGTTCTTTTCTATTAACTGTTTAAGTGTGAAGATTGCATCTGTGCAGCTTCTATTTCTCCTAAACCCCATCTGTTCTTCTGCCAGCTGTGGTTCTATCACTGGTCTCAGTCTTGATTCTATTATCTTGGCATACATTTTGCCAACATGGCTTAAAAGAGAGATGCCTCGGTATTGACCGTATTCTCGTTTGCTTCCTTTGTTATTCAACAATGGTATAACTATTGCATGTTGCCAATCAGTAGGGGCAGTTTGTTGTACCCATGCTGCATTAAATATTCTGTGAAGCCATCTGATGCTGCTTTCACCTGCTGTTTGAATTATTTCTGTTGGTAATCTATCAGTTCCTGGTGCTTTATATTTGGGAGACTGCTTAATGACTTTTTCTATTTCATCCATTAGTATGTGTGGTTCTAACACTGTTGCTCTGTGCTCTTCAGTTGTTCTTTCCTGATGATCTCCTAGAGCCAGCTTCACATCAACCACCCACAGTCTCTTCATTCAATTAAAAAAAAACGTGTCCCCTTGTGGGATGCAGTTTTTCGTTATTTTGAAGCCCCACCCTGGCTGTTGTCGCGGGGTCCTAACATAACCCACGGCCTTCTCTATTTACATACAGAAAGACCTGCATAACCTAACGGTTGAACATGGTTTCCGGAACTCTCCACGGGTGTCCCTCATCCGCATGATGGCACTTAGTGACACCGAGTGTTTATCGCTCTGTGAAAACGTAACTTACTCCTCAATCAATCGGTTCTTAGTTACACCTGGCTGGTGTAGCCGTTACGGGTGTCCTAATTACGACTTATTACGAGAGTGAACGGGTACCTGGGATCTGCCTTGTTGGTCTGCAGTCTAGATTTAGATATTTTAATCTCATAATTTTTATGGTAAATCTTTTGGTAGCATACCGGAGGGGAAAGAATGACCGATCAATGGGAATTGTCCCTTTCAATGCCCACAGTACGTGTCGTGACGAGTTAGCACAGTGGTTCTCAACCTTCGGAAGAGTCACCCTTTAATACAGATCCCTCGTGTCGTGACGACCCCCTACCCACAAACAATTATTTTCCGTCATAAATTCAATGAATATGTGTCTTGCGATCGTCTTAGGTGATCCTTGTTAAAGGGTCGTTCAACCACCACCCCCCCCCCCACACACACACACAAATAAGGTCGTGACTCGTAGTTTGAGAATAGATGATTAAGTAGTATATGCATGCACGACAGCTCCCAGCAATGTTAACATTGTAATATAAAAGAGCAAAGAGATGATATTCATTTTTTCCCCAGGAAGATGTTTTAAACCGTCCAAACTCTATCGAAGCATGAAGGTTTCATTTGGAGACATTTGTTTGTGTCAGAGGAAAGTGTATAGATGGGTGAACAGATCTAAAACCGGCTGGCACCGTATCAGTGAGTGGGAGACCGTATATAGCGTGGCAACAACGACGGTGACACAGTAGATAGAGCAGCGAATCTTTGACAACAGACAGGTCACTGCTGATAAAATTGCTGTAGAATTTCACTGAG